TAAAACAGCTTAACAACTCCGTCAAGAGCTCTCGAGGGGGTGGGGAGCCGCCGAGAGGTATTTGATGGATTCGCTTTGGCAACCCTCAGCTACCTTGTCATGCCAATAAAATTATTGCCATTGATTGGGGAGAGGCGCGGACGCACGCTCCGAGGAGCAGATCTCCCTCCCAGGTCTGGGCCCAGGCACCCACGGGGGCTGTGTGCACGTGGGGAGGTGGCGAGGGGTCCCATGGGGATGGAATGGGATAGGGACGGAGCAGGGGAGGGCAGAGGGAAGAGGCAGGAGGAACAAAAGGCCCTTGTGCCAGAGGGCCAGCTGGGGAGAGGCTGCGACACGGGGACGAGAGGATTTTCAGGGGCTGCATCAGGGTCGATGCTCGGGGAGTCCTCAAGGGTCACTGGCTGACACTGCCATGCCCGGGGCAGGCTTCACACCCCAAATCTGTCCCCGCCGCCACGAAAAGCTGTCTGAGGCGCAGGCAGTTAAGCAAGGTAGCCGGCAGCAGGGTCACAAGGGGGACTGAGCCCTGCCGCGCGCTTCGGGAGCCGGATTTCACGCGCTGAGACACAAAGGGCCCCTTTTCAGCCAGAGCCGCTCACCCTGAGCACTAAGCGGAGGGTGACGCGAAAGGACCCGCGGGGACAGGGACCAGCAGAGCGGGCAGGGAGCCCGACGGCTTCCCCTTCCAGCTCACGTGGACCACGATCAGGTCATGCGTTACACCCAAGAGGCCAACACATGGGGGCTTTTGTAATGGGAAAAGACCCAGCAGGCAACAGGGAAATTCCCCAAAAGCCCCCAGTCAGAAGCACCCACTCCTCAGAGCACCTATTATCTGGTCATACTGTCCAGACACCCTAAGAGTTGTGAACACACCAAAGCGTCCTTCTCCAGAGCTTTAAGAGATCACTACCCAAAGCGGGTGCCTCCACCAGCTGCCAAATCTGGTCCCCTGAAGCAGGACAGGGACTGCACGGGAGCCCCTCAGCCCTCCCCAGAACAGGAGCACCACATCCCGTTGTGCAGGGATGGAGGAGATGACCCACTTAGCGTGGAGAGTTTATTTATTACTCTTATTATTAAAGCAGAGAAGCCAAAGGAGCCAGACGTGGGGCCAGTTCAGCTGTGTTTTCCGTGGGAGAGAATAAACAAGCTGCGGCAAGCGCAAGCCCTGGAGGGGAGCAGACTGCTAACAGAGACACGTCCCAATGCGTTCGCACCCGAGGCCAGCCGGTTTCAGGACAGGGCAGGGAGCTGCACAGATTACGGTGGTGACCAGGCAGCCAGATAATCCTCAAAAAAACTGAGAGCTTGACCAGCTCCAAGGGATGAGTAGTCTGATGCTATCGTGGCTGGGATGCACTGGTGGCACCACCCCACGGCCATGCCCGCCTCAGGGATGTCCTGTGCCTGGATCCTAGGTGGTGCTGGCTATCTCCTGAGGAGCTGTGGCAAGAGGGACAGCCTGGGGGGACAGCAGTGGGCAGAGCTGCTTGGAGGGAAGGAGTTCAGCTCACCCTCCCGCTAAAAATAACCAGGCAGCACCCAAAACTGGGTCAACCCACAAGGGCCACACCGGAGCTCAGTGGAGCCCTAAGGCGGTGCCTTGTTTGCATAACGAGGAGCAGATGGCAAGCTAAAGGAGGGCAGCCGGGTCTCTGCGCTGCACCCCCCAGGGTGCCCCACTGCCCGGGTGCCAAACCGCCAGCCCAGCACAGCGCGGTTACTGGGAGAGGGTTGCACCATCAGCACACCCCCTCCAGCACTGTCCCTCTTTTCTCCCTCTGTACAACACTTGAAGCATGCCCAAAATCGAGTCCTTGGCACACACAAGTTAGTAGGTGACTAGGGGTGCAGTGTCAGACATGCCTTCCCAGCAGGTGGCTGAGCACCCCCATTGCAAGCACACACAGCTTTCTGTCCCCCCCCAAAATAGGAAAGACAGCCTGGGAAAATGACAACCACCCAATGAGAAGGTCATCAAGTGAGGACAGCTGGTTTCCAGGAAAAACCCAAGCATTAGGAAGCAAGTCTCTTCCCTTGCGCAAATATCCCCCGGGCATCCCCATCACAGCATGCTCATGTCTCACGTCCCCATGTCACTTCCCCATCCACAGCACCCTCAGACCACAGGGTGCATGGCCAGGTCCCCGTCAGAACAGCTCAGGAGGACAGAGGAAGCACACCAGCCCCAGCAGCACGAGAAGTCATCCCCGCGTTGCTCACCCGGGCAGCAACAGGAATTCCCCCAGCGCCCCAACCCCATGACTGCTGGCACGGAGGACCACGAGCACACGGGGCCGAGGGCTTTCCAAGCCGGGCCTCTTCACATAACTCGGGGCCAGCCAAAGATAACTGCCTGCCTGGGAACCCTGCGGGGACAAGCTGAGAGCGGTTTGCCACGGGCTTAGCTGCTGCGACTGGGATCAGCATCCCAGGGGTCCTGTATCTCCATCCTCCCCATCCCAGCACATGGTCCCTGTCCTGCGGCCAGTTTTGCAAATTCAACATTGCTTGCAATATCCTTCCACCCCCCCCTCAAAATGAGGGTGTCCTTGCAGCTGTGGTGGCAGCAGGTGCTGCCCAGCACCCCAGCCTTGGGGCAGCAACTGTTGGTGGCAGGACAGGCTCCAGGGCAGCCAGAGGCTCGTGTGGCTTTTCGGGAGGGGGACAAAGAGAGGCTCTGTCTGCACACAACAGCCTGGACAAATGCTGGGCATGGGAGCTGCCATCCAAGGAAAATCCAGACGCAGCAGTGACTCTGCCCTGACCTTACCCTGGCCCAGATGGTGAGATCAGTGCCCCCTCCTCAGAGCAGCATCCATTACAGGGCTCCTGCGGATGGGGAGGGGAGCACCCAGCTGTCGGCACAATCCCCCCTTCCCAAAGGAGACGCCAGGGGCGCCGGCTAGGGCAGTGGGGCCTGGCAGAAGGGCAGAGAAGCCACCAGGCTGCTCCAAGCCTAATCCAGGTGCTTGTCAAGGGGATGGTGAGAAACACTGATGGCTTAAAAGTAGAAGGATTGCAACTGCTGCCGAGGGATGCACTCCTGCACCCCCTGCCTGGGGCAGCCACCTTGGCTGGCTGTACCCCTGCCAGGCGTTCTGTCTCCTGGCTGGGGACATGTTGGCACCACCCCGGGACAGGTTAGCAGCTCCCCTCTGGCTCCCCAGGCAGAGAGGAACCCTCCTCTCCTCTCCAGCC